ATGGCGGGGCGGAGCCGCATGCGGAGGCGCATGCGTTCGCGGGGCGTCATGGGGCGCCCGGGCACGATGCGGCGGATGGGCCGGTTCCCGTTCAGGGCCATGATCTCCCGGATGCGCTTCCAGTTGGAGCGCGACAGCACGAAGTTGCATTGCGTGGCCCCGATGTCGTAGAAAACACTGCAGGTCTTGACGCTGGGGTTGTAGCCCTCGGCCCGGGCTGACACACGGTACTCGCCCGGGTTCAGGATGCGCCAGTAGTCCCCGCCGCTAGCTGCAAACACCGAGAGGTGTGAAGGAAGTAACGTGGTGCTGCCGGTGCCCTCCGCGTCCCACCCTGTACCTTACCTGTCTTGACGTTGTGGTTGATCCCCCCAACAACAATGGTGGCGTTGGCGATGGGTTCACCCTGCTGGTCTGTCACCAGGCCCTTGATGCCCCGATGAACCTGTGCGAGGGAAGGGGACAAGAGGAGAGGCGAGGATGAGGGAAGGGGAGGAGAGGAGAAGCAAGCAGCTGTTTGGGGTGGGTGGCAGAGCCACTGGCCCTCGCACCCTGGTGCTTACCTGCTCCATGAAGGTCAGCAGAGACTCCTTGTTGTTCTCCCACTCCTGCTGCAGCTCGCTCTCATGGGGAAACTTGTCACAGCCCAGGTAGATGGAGAGCTCCAGGCAGTTGGTGTGCAGGTAGCTGAAGTCGTTCATGGCTGCAAAAAAAGAGCAGGCAAAGTAGTAGGTGGCATGGGGCCACCCTTCGCCACCCAACCTGTCCACCGTGGGTGCCTCCTTGGTGCCCAGCTGGAGGTGAGGGACAAAGCTCCACTTACTGCCAGCCCGTGGGTGCCACTTGGCGCCCTGCACGATGCCCATGGCGTCGGTCATGTCCTGCGTGTGGCAGCCACCGCGGAAGGTCTCCGTCATGGTGAGGTGGGCTGAGGCGTAGGAGATGGCAAGCCAGCGGAAGATGGCGTGGTCTGGCGTCTCCTGCAGCTCGGGGTTTTCGTCCTCATAGTCATCTGGTGGGCGAGGGGGGGCCGCTGGCGTCTCGCTGCGGGGCCGCGCTGTGTCAAAGGGGTAGGACACCAGCTTCTCGCCGCCCTGCAGGTTGGCTCCCAGCACGAAGGGGTTCTTCTCCATCCAGGCCATGACAGCTCGTGTCTCCACCGCAACCTGAGGAGACGAGCATGGTGGGGTGGGAGGCAAACCTTCCCTTCACTGTCGCCATGCTGGTGCCCCCCTCTTGTCGCACTCACCGTGGCATCCTCAACCAGGTAGTGCTCCGGGATGGTGATGTGATGGTTGGGGAACTTGTGCGGCACCAGCTTCCTCTCCTCAGCCGCCCACAGTGGTGACGCCAGGTCAGGGAAGTTCTCAAAGAGGTCGTAGCCCTCCTCTGTCCAGTGGCCCAGCGCCCAGTTGCCCAGCTCTGAGCCCTGCAGGGATGAGCCAAGGCTGGCAGTGAGCAGTCGGGGCTACCTCCCACCGCCACCCGGCCGCCTCCTCCTTACCGCCTCGCGGGCAAGCTCATAGCCATCAGGGTTGAGGGACGGCACAAGGTGGATGCGGGTTTCAGTGACCAGGCTCCGCACGCGGGGGTTGCCGTCCTGGTACTCCTTGCACAGGAATTGCATGAGCAGGAGCAACAGCTCTCGGCCTAGCACCTCGTTGCCGTGCAGCCCAGCCGTGTACCTGAATTCGGGCTCTCCTGCAGGCACGGGGGCAAGATCAGGCCATGGGCAGGATGGGGACATGGCTCCCTGCCACCACCCGTGGTCCTTCCCGCCCTAGAGCGAGGGAGATGCATCCCAGTGCCTTCCCCTTTTCTCCCGAGTCTCACCGGTCTCGTGCTCGCCCGGGTTGTCAGAGATCTCCATGGCATAGATCTTGAGCCCCCGTGAGCTCTTGCCGATGTTGTAGATGCGGGTGATGGTGGGACACTCCTCGTTGACCACCTTCATGAGCTAGGGGCGCATGGGGACAAGTGCTGGGTGACAGCAGACCCTGGCCGGGGGACGCCGGCTGGCTTTCGGCTGCGGGGAGGGATGGACACCCTCCAAGCTGGAGCAGGGTGCAGACCCCACAGCACCCCAGGCTCACCTGCCTCATGTCCTTGTAGCTGTGGTGGCGGAAATCCAGGTTGTCAGTGGACGTCACCTCGTTCTGCTGTGTGTAGTAGCTGCTGACAGCTTGGGAGGGGACAGACGCGTTGGCACCAATATGCCAGGTGCCACCATCACCCACCCCAGCCCTGTCCCCAAGCGTTTCTTACTGGAGAGGGGACAGCCCAGGACCTCGAGGCGCAGGCAGAGGCTGCCGTTCCAGGTCTGGGGGTAGATGCGGATGTAGCGGGCCACCATCGGCTCCGGGAACTCAGTCAACACCGGCGTGTCCTTGTCCACGTTGCCGTAAAACATCTGGCCCAGGGGGGGGGA